TGCCCAGGCGGGTCTCGAACCTGCGGGTTCAGGCAATCCACTCACCTCAGCCTCCCAAGGGCGCGGGATTACAGGCTGAGCCACCAAGCCCAGCTAGGTGGACTATTCTTAGAGGCTCCCAGAGAGGCAGAGACAGAGAGCCCAGAGAGGCTGAGCACTTGACTCTAGGAAGGAGGACCCTCCACCCCAGCTCAAGTCCAAGTTCACCAGGATTTCCTCAGGATGTATGGGTCCACACAACCCCTGGCTGTTGGAGCAAGAAAGTCCTGGCTCTGAGCCCCAGGCAGGCCTCACCTGTAAATGATGTTGAGGGAATGCAGGTAGCCAATGGCACTGGCCACCTCAGCAGTGTAGAATCGGGCTCGGGGCTCCAGGAACCGGCGCTCCCGCTGCAGGTGGAAGAAGAGCTGGAGGAGAGGAGGCACGTGAGGGCGGGGGGGCGCCAACTCTTGGGTACAGGGCTGGGAACCATACGCTCCCCACCCTGTGCAGCTGGCCAAGTCACCCCCGCTTTGAGCTGCGGTGTATTCTATCAAAAAAGTGCATGCTGCTGCCACCCCTCACAGCAGTCCTGGGTGTTCAAAGTGTCAGCAGGAAAAGAGACGAATCTGCATTGATTGAGCACCTACTGTATTCCAGGCTCCAAGTCAGGCCCTTTCATATATTATCTCATTTAAACTCTATGACATTCTTCAAGATACAATTATGCTGGTTGCATGTAAGAGGAAACTAGGAGGGGTCAGAATGGTGACTTGCCCTAGGTCATGTAGCTAGTAATTGGCAGAGCTGGGTTTTGAAACTGAGTGGTTCAAAGATGTGCTTTTCCCTCCAGTCTAGGAGAAAAGATGATTATGGCTGTCTAACTGAGCCCAGGTTAGATCCAGCCATGGGCCAGTCTCTTATCTATTTGCTGTCATGGAAAGCTCTTCACTCAGGGATGCAGGACAAAAACCTCTTCCTTGGCAACAGACTGGAGGCATGATGTCACACAGGTTAAATCTGGGGTCACTGAGTGGAGCCTCCCTAAATTTTGCCATCTTGCCCAGAGAGACAGAGTAAAGTCCAGGAGGGAGCCTAGCTTGTCCCAGATATACTTCTGGGTCACCAGGTGGCCTCGGGTCCCTGTTGACCACAGTGACCAGTCAATCCCATCCTGTGGCCTGTGGTGTGAAATGGGAACATGGGCAATCTTGACCTCAGAGCTCCTCTTCGCATGGACCTTTCTTGGCTCTAAGTGGGTCTGTGGTCAGCTTTGAGTGAGGAAACAGGAAAGCCTTATGACTGGGAGCCCAACAGACCCGAATTCAAATCCTGGCTTGATCAAGTACAGGCTGGGCAGGCTTGAGCAAGTGATTCACCTCCCTGGACTTCAGTTTCTTCATCTACAACATGGGTCTGTCGTGAGATGAGGTGTGCTCATTCCAGAACTTGGCATGCAGCGGGTATGGGGGGCAGTCAGCTTCTAGCCAAGAGCTGGCCCAGGGAACCCTCCCTGCCGGCCCACCTACCTCTCCCCCGTTGACATAGTCGAGCACAAAGTAGAGCTTCTCAGGAGTCTGGAAGGAGTAACGCAGGCCCACAAGAAAGGGGTGCTGCACGTTCTTCAGAAGCACGCTGCGCTCTGCCATGATGTGGCTCTGCTGTAGAGTCATACAGACAGGGGTCCATGTCACAGCCCCTTACATCCTGGCACAACCCACACGGCCTTGCTGGCAGGAGTCGTCCTGCCCAGGATTTTCTCATACTCCTGCTCAAACATTCACAATGCCTCCCTATTGCCCTCAGACCCAGGCCCAGGCCCCTTGCCTGGTATACAGGGCTCATCTCCAGTCACTCTATGAGGGCATAGCTCCAGCCTCTGGATCAGAAACCCTTGCCCCTTTGGTGAAAAGCAAAGCATATATGATGACTACATGAATGAGTCCCAAGGAAAACCTCTAAGGGAAAAGAAGTCACGCACCATCATGCATATATTTGTTCATGCTGTTTCCCCTGCCTGGACATCCCACTCTCCTTTTTTTTCTTCTTGGAGTCAGGTTCTCTGTTTGAGTCAGGGTCTCACTCTGTTGCCTAGACTGAAGTGCAGTAGCACAATCACAGCTCACCTCAGCCTCGACTTCCTGGGCTCACGTGATCCTTCTGCCTCAGCCTCCCGAGTAACTGGGACTACTGGTTCACGCCACCATGCCTGGCTAATTTTTTGATTTTTTGCAGTGACTAGGTTTTGTTATGTTGCCCAACTTGGTCTCAAACTCCTGGCCTCACACAATCCTTCCACCTTGGCCTCCCAAAGGGATTACAGGTGAGATCCCCTGTGCCCGACCCTACCTTTTTTTCCAGACCATCAGAATCCTACCATCAACGCCAGCTGCAAGGCCGCCTCCCTTAGGAAGACCTCCTATTCCCACCCTTCACGATGTCCTTGTTAACGTGAATCACTCTTTCTCCTGAGTCCCCTACTTCATATTCAATACAATCTCTGGACTGATTCCATCCTACTAATTGGGTCAGGTGCTAGAGGAACTCAATCAGCTGAGCATCAAGAAATCCAGGATGGCCTTGGCTTGAAGGACTGTTGGAGAGTATGCAGTGTGATTCCACATTGCACAGATGAGAAGCCTGGTACTCAGGGTGGAACACTTGTCCATTGTAGAGCCCTTTCCCCGGGAAGGCAGAGACCGGTCTGGTCTCCCCGAAGGCCCTATGGGTATCTGGCTTGGTTTGCCTTCTTTGAGAAGGGTCAGCAGCCTGGGCACCACTTCCTATTGTGACCACCTCTGCACCCAGCTTCATGGGCCCCTCAGAGTGGATCAAGAAGCAGGGGGGAAATGCCTGTGCCTGGCTTTGGTACCTCTTTCTTCTTTAAGATGGACTTTTTCTGCAGTACCTTCACTGCATAGAACGTCCCATCGGACTTGCGCTTGGCCAGTAGCACCTGAGCAAAAGAAAAATTTGAGGCCCTGTGGGTGACCTTGGACTTCCCCATGGCAATGCAGGGCCTCCTGCCCGACCCTGTTTCCCTCCACAGGTGTGTGAGCTCTCTCTGCACATGCAAGTGGCAGGCATGGGCTGGAGGAGGCTGCAGACAGGAGACCTCGGCCTCCCACCCTCACCAAGTCACTCACCTTCCCATAATTCCCTTTGCCAATGACTTTAAGGAAGTCAAAGTCCGTGGGCCGGGCACTGGCGGGAGAGGGAAAAACACGGATCAGCATTTGCAAACTCTGGAAACCTGAGAACAAACCTGGGCTTCTTTTTAACTTTAGAGCTGGGAAATTCAGGGAGCCACAACTCCTTCCCATGTTCATGCCCCTGAAGATCCCCATGTTTCCCCAGCTTGTGAGACTCACCCCTGCCCCGGGGAGCAGACATTCAAGTTAACAACAGGCCAGGTGAAGACAAAACCAGACACTCTGCATAGAAGGCCTGCACGAAAGGCAGGATCTGACCGCAAAGACCTGACAAGTGCCCGAAGGGTGGGCAGTTGCTAACAATGCTGACATTTGGGGGGCATTGCAGGCTCAGCACGGACAGAGGCTGGGGAATTAGTGGGAGGTAAAGCTAGGGAGAGTTCTGGGCTCAGATAGCAGAGGGTCTTGAACGCTAGACCAGAGAATTTGGATTTTATTCCCAAGACAAGGGGAGCCAGGTATGAGGGAAGTCAGGTATGAGGAAAGCCAGGCAGGAAAGTTGCCTGAGGGACCAGAACTCACTTTGGGTTGGCTGAAGGCCCCAGGTTGATGTTCCCATTGGCTCTGGAGAGCTAAAGACATTTAAAGAAATAAGTGATTAAAATCAGCAGGTCCCCGCTCCTTGGTTCCCTCCCTTTCCCTTGGCCCCAGCCCCAATCTCTTCTCCAACAAATCTGCTAGGCTCCTTGCCTCCCTCCCTTCCTCCCTTTTTCCTTTCCTTTTTTATTTCCACCCACCCACCTCATCACCTATCCACTATCTTAGCAGCTTCTCACAGCAGCCTTGCGAGGCTGCTGGCTGTTGTGCCAGTTGCACAGATGAGGAAGTGGAAGCCCAGGGAGGAGTTGTCCAAGGTCTCACAGGTAACCAGGGTGGGTTAGAACCCAGGTGTCCTCACAAACAAGCCCATGGCTTTCCACCCCATCTACTTCTCAAAGCCTTTGTTTAGATCTCTTCTGTTTATCCTGCAAGGAGCCCACTTCTCTGTGCCCACAGTGATCCTTGCTGGCCTCCAGCCCTGGTCTGGGACAGTCTACGGTGCTGGCTGGTGTTTACATATTTCCTCAGTCTTGGGAAGAACTGAGTCCCCTGGTGATGGGTGGAGGACCAAGAACCACTCACCTGTGGACTGGGTATCCCAACAGGGCTAGAGTCCATCCTGTAGCAGTGATCAGGCAGGGTCTTGGGCTACTGGGAGGAGCAGGCATGGGATTATTGGTGTTGAGTGGTTAACTTCACCCATCCAGGGCTTCAGGGACCACTGCCTTCTCCGTCCTCCCTAACCTGTGCACCTGCCCCTGCCTAAGTGTCTCCTACCCCAGACGCCAGAAACCCCTGCATGAATGGGACAAGAAATGACATCCCCTGGATGCAGCTTTTCTGACCAAACATCTCAGAAGGGAGAGAGGGACATGGTCAGGGTTGTCTGAGGTTCAGTCATTTCAAAGGTTGGGGGCAGCTAGGGCAGCAAGACCCCTGCAAGTCAGGGAAGCTCCAGAAGTTCAGGTTGACCAGGGCTGAAAGGATCCTCGCAGGCTATAAAGTCTGAACCCTTCCCTGTGTTTCATAGGGGGGATCCTAAGGCCTAGAAAAGGACTTTCCTAGGGCCACACCATTTGTGAGAGGAAGGCTGGGCTCCCCAGACTCCCATGAAGGCATGCTGAATTCTTGTGGACAGTCCCAGCAGGCTCTGAGCTGACTAATATCTCCTTGTCACAAGGACTTCTGACTAATGCCTCAGGCATGGCAGCTGCCTTGGAGGTCTTGGGCCAAAGCTATGGGGAGATCCCAGACTGGCCAGTGTCTGTTTGAGATCAAACAACGGAGGGTGTGATCAACTGGTCTATGCAGCCAGGAACACAGTGTCTTCCCTGCCCCCATCCTGCAGATGGAGAAAGCCAGGGTGCCCAGGCCCAGGCTCAGATTGCTTGGGGCCCCACAGCCTATCCTTGTCTGGAAGGTCAAAGCCAAGAGCAGAGATCTCACCTGAGAGCGCAGTTGCTTGCAAGAGCTGCCAGGCATCCCAAGACCACAGCCTTGACTCACTATGGGGCCTGGGCTGTCACCCGGCCTCTATGAGTAGAGACTGCCCATCTATATCAGGGTTCCTGCAGGCACCACCCACTGGCCTTTTTGGGAACTGAAAAAAGTGAAGGGGAAAGGAAGGGAGCCCCCATTCCAGGCTGCTTTGAGAGGCCCAGCCCTACCAAGCCCTAAGAGAGCAAGCTGCAGGACTGTCAGATAGGGAGTGCAGCCTGGATTCAGCCAGTGCCATTGGTCTGTCTCCCGCAGACAACCCACAGCACTGCCACACCCTCTCCTGAGCTGATCCTGATGGCCCTCTGCCAGGCCCTGACCTCCCTGGCCCCACATACCTACACAGCCTGAGGAGAGGCCTCTGGGAGAAGCAGCAGATGGAGCCGAGGATGGGCAGCCACAAGAGAGCCTCTCTCTGTTCTTCCAACAAGGGCCGAAGTGTCTGTGCCTGGTGCCGGCCTGGCCCCAGCACAGAGCTCACAGCTCCCAGCAGGCAGCAGCGAGGGGGCTGGTTGATGTCACGTGAGACCCAGCAGAGCTTAAGATGGGACCGGAGACTTGAAGATGGATGCCCTTGAGGACATCATCTCCCTCTAAGGTGGTGGGTGTGAGGGGGCTGGGTAGTAGCCCTGGAGACACTTGGGGCTTGTTAGAATGTGTGCAACTGTGTGGGTCAGGGTGTGTGTGTGGCATGTGCAAGTGTTCTGTGCACAGAGGTGCTTCAGTGCGTCTCTGTCTGGTGTGTCCCTACAGCTCTGTATTTCAGGTATCTTGTCAGTGTGACTGTGTGTGGATGACTGCATGCATGTGTCAGCGTGACCACATTTGTATATTTATGTCAGTGTATATCTGGGCATCTGTGACTGTGTGCATCAGTGCGTTTCTCAGTGTGTGGTATGTATACCCATGTGTTTCAGTGTGCCTCTGAGTGGTATATGTCAGTGTGTTAATGTGTTTGCGTCAGTGTGCTTATGTGTGAATGTGAGTCTGAATGTGGGTGTCTACCAAATGTCTCTTCAGAGGAGTATGAGTGTCCGTGAAAATGTGTGTGTGAGCTGGGCTCGGTGGCTCAGCCTGTAATCCCGTACTTTGGGAGGCTGAGGTGAGTGGATTGCCTGAGCCCGCGGGTTCGAGACCCGCCTGGGCAATTTGGCAAGACCTCATCTCTACAAT